TTTTTTTTTTTGGTTTTTTGAGACAGGGTTTCTCTGTGGTTTTGGAGCCTGTCCTGGAACTAGCTCTTGTAGGCTGGTCTCGAACTCACAGAGATCCGCCTGCCTCTGCCTCCTGAGTGCTGGGATTAAAGGCGTGCGCCCCCAGCCACCGCCCAAGAGACAGGAATCTTGATCACATGACTACACTTAAAAAAAATCAGAGATGACTGCACCTCTGGGCCTCATGGGTTGAAATTATAATTTTTGTAAAGATTTACTTTTCATTTTAAGTATATGAATATTTTGCCTCCAGGTACATAAGTACTATGTCCATGCCTGGTGCTCTTAGAGGTCAGGAGAGGGCACTGGATCCCCTGAGACTGAAGTCACAGGCAATTATGAGCTGCCACAGGGGTGCTGGAAATTGAACCAGGTCCTCTGCAACAGCAACAACCGCTCTTAACCACTGAGCCACCTCTGCAGCTCCTGGAATTACAATTTTACATTGTAAGCTAATTAAAATTACTGCATAGATGTGATTTGGAAACTGGGCAATCATCTTCTGCCTGTAAGACTCTGAGACACTGCTCTCTCACCCGGAGCAAGATTTCAGGGCTCTGCTCTCCCGGGTGCCGCTGTGGAGGCCTAGTTTCTCTCTCTTCTATTTCTCTACCTGCTGCAGCCCATCACTCAGACTCTTGACACAGTGACGCTCCCCAGGAGGGAATCTGTAGTCTTGTTCATCTTTGTCATTGGTCCCCAACAAAGGTCATAGCTTAGGTCTGTCAATGGCTGTCCTTGGGTGACTGTGTTTCCCAGGTCTACTGCTAAGGTCAGGTTAAGGAGAGGTGGAGCTGGCAGGTGTAGAGCCTGGTCACAAGGTATGCCCAGCCTGGTGCTGACTGCAAACCCTGGTCAGACCCAGCTGTCACCTTTACCTTAATGGCTGGCAGAAATGAATAACCAGGAACAGCCCCTATCACCTTCCAAGATCACACTAGGTCTGGTATCCATAAGGAGAGCTCCTCTCCATCCTGGTCTACACTGTGATGATGCTTAAAGGAGCTACAGAGGTGAGAAAATCATTTACACCCATCCCGACACCCAGGTGACTTTCAGTCTACTTGGTGTAAAATGCCACTCCTCCAGACTTCCTAGTCCGCCTCCCTGCTTCCTAACTTCTCTCTGGCCTTTCTCCAGCACACCATATTAGTCCTTTAGTCAAGGGCATGGCCCTGTCCCATGCAAGGTCAGTCCTAGGAAAGAGAAATCTGCCCTTTGGATTGTTTGCTCTGTGAAGTCATAGAACTGCTTGCGTGAATGATATGGGATGTGACCCAGGGGTGGGGGGTGCCCTTCCTGGAGGAGGTGACACTGCTAAGCCAGCTGCCCAGTGGAGGACACAGCGAAAGAACACATTAACTAGACACAGCTGGAGGCTGGGGTGCTCATGGGAGTTTACTGCAGAAGGAGAAGGTGGAGGGGCTGGCTTGGGAAGGCAAGAACAAGCGGGCAGCACACTTTAAAATGTATTAAGGTGGGGAAGAGGATGGTGGCACATGGCACAGAAAACTTCAGGGTATGGATCTAAAATAAAACCTCACCCATAGGCAAGAATGCAGTTGGATTTAACATGACCAGCAGATGGTGCTGGTTCAACGTTAGTAAGCAATACATCAGATATTCTTTTTCATCTTCATACAATTATAATTTCCACTATCAGAACCTTCTAAAGAGCACAGATATTATGTTAAAATCTGTATTATTACATTTGGATTAATCAGTTAGATTAGTCCAACCGAAATATCCCCCATGCATGTGACTAGATATTTGTATACTTTCTTTTGTCCAGACAACTGGTCCCAAGGGATAAAAACAGTTTTTAGCATAGCAAAACAACATCATATTCTCTCCCCTTACAGGGGTGTCTTTTAGTCCCCCTGACAAAAGGCATTTGGAATCTGCACTGGCAAGCTGAGAAATAACTGGTAATATATAGTCAGTAAACATAACAGCATTGTTTTGGGGGGTCAGTAGTATTATGTCCTTATTGTTTCCCCAAAGTCTTGGCTTGACAAGTTAAAGTCTTGATGTCTCCCCCAAGTTATTGGCTTCCTCTTCTTCTTGGGACATCTCCTTTTGATGGCTTTGTCGTCTATCTGTAGGCACTTGGTTAGTCTGGTGGTCTCTGGGATGCTGTCCTTGTTGGATATGTCAGGGCAGGAGCCATCTGGGACTTCATTTCTCTTCTGTAAGATATAAGCCTTGCCTCGATATTAAAACATCGGGCCCTTTTTAGTGGTTAGTTAGATCTTGTTTTTTAACATATACTTTAGGTTATGTCTCCTTTAGGGCAAAATGCTCATCAGAAGCAGAAAAAGCATTATCTTTCAAAGTGAGAAAAAGGAAAGTTAATATAGCTAAATGTAGCATAGTTTGTGGGGATTTAAACTGGTGTACCAGTATTTGATAGTGTTGTTTTACAATAGTTTGACCCTGACGATTGTAAGGAATTACAGTAACACGATTAATATTCCATACCTTGCAAAAAATTTTAAAGTGCTTGCTAGTACAAGCAGGTTCATTATCAGTTTTTCAGTTGCAATGGGAGTCCTAGGAAGGAAATGTATAAGGAACTATTTGATAAAATCAAGCTCTAGATATGACACCATGGAATTTTCCTGGAGCCCTCAGGACCCCGTGTCCTGCCTGGAGTTGTGCTGTGCAGCTGACTAATCAGCAGGAGGCACTGTGTGTGCCTTTGGTGCACACCAAGCACAAGGCCTCTGCGCACCCGAAAGAGAAGGCTACAGACATAGACAGCCCTAGTTCTAGACGTCAAGCTGACGTGAGAAGTACTCACTACTAATCAGTTTTAGAATACTGTGTGAAATAAGCCTGCAATAGAGGATAGGCGTGCATGAGCCTCCTCTAACTTCCTCCCTAGTCAAGAGTCTGATCATTGATGTCAGACTCAGGGAAGCACAAAACCAAAAAAGTAGAACTTACTTAATTCGCAATGGTCATTAACTTTTAAAGATTTAAACCTAAGGCTATTTATGTAAGATTTGGGATCTTTAAAATTTAGGGCGATTTTAATTTTGAGTTCAAGAAGACTCTCCTATTAGGTTAACAGTATATTCAGAAGTACTGAGAAACAATCACAGAAAATCCTGAAGGAAAAAACAATTGTGCTTTCCCATGCAAGCATGAAAGAACATGTCTAGCTGGTACTGTAAACAAAACAAAAATGCGTACACCAGTTCCACGGAAGAAGAACCTTCCAGAAGGTGCTAGTTCTTTCTACATTTAACAGGTTCTTAGTCTTTACCAAAAATAATTTTAGGCAAAAACTTTAAAATAATCTAACTCATACTGATTGCATTTCTGGTTTAACTCCTTCTGCCTTCCAAAGAAATTTGAGAAATATGCAATTATCTTTTCAGTCCATGGCCACCATATTATCCAGAAGAAATACTCTAAAATATTTTCTTGATTCCAATTTGCCCCCCCTTTTTTTCCCTTAAATTCATGTGAAGCTTGTTCACATTGTTATTCATAAATTTTTTGTTATATTGTATAAAGTGTAAATTTTAAAAAATGAAATTTTAGAAATCATAAATACCAAGGAATCTGGGTGGTATTTGGTCTCTCAGTGCCTGAAAGGCCTGAAGTGAGAAAGTCTCCATTTTTTATGTGAAGACGAGATAAAATTCCTTATTTTGCAAGACTGAGAGCATGTGGCTGGATGGATGCGACACATGATGTGACAGCAACATGAGCATGCCCTGACCTGGGTGACCTCCAGGAGCAGTGGAGTCCACTTGGCCTGCAGAGGAAACAAAAATTCTTTTTTCAATGATCCTCCCGAGTCCGAGCAATACAGTACTGTGCTCCAGCTTGGGAAATAATTGGCACGGGAATTTTATCTCCTCTTTCACGGGCCCTTTTTACATTAGCTCCTATGCATTTCCGGTTGTCTTTTTTTTTTTTTTTTTTTTTTTTTGGTTTTTCAAGACAGAGTTGTTGTCCTGGGACTTTCTCTGTAGACCCCCACCTCATGGTTGCAGTTCCAATGTTCTCGGTCAGGAAGCCATGGACTGAATTTTACAGACATCACATTGCAGAGCTATTGCTCTCAATATTTTCTTCCTTTGGTTCTTAAACAAACATTATCAGTAACTGTCTAGAATGCTTTATCTCCGAGGGCTGAGAAGAACCCAAGCTTATTTTACCTTCTTACTTACAGTTGTCATCTCTTGGTGACAGGACCGAACCCAGACCCGAGTCTATTAAAAGAAAAATCTTACCTTCTCTAAGAGTTGAGTCCCTCACATTGGTCGCCAGTTGTGCCCATGCCCCTGCCACCACCACCAGTACCACCCCTACGAGCACTACCGCCATCAGCACCACTAACACTAGTACTACCCAAGCGGGCAAGGCCACTACTACCACCACCATAGGTACCACCGCATCAGCCCCATTGCCACCCGAGTAATGATCTTTTTTTGCCAGATGAGGGAAAAGGGCAGTCTAGTTCAACATGACTCAATAGCCAGGGTTGGTTCAAACTTTTATTTTATTTTGCTTTGTTTTATTTTCGAGACAGGGTTTCTCTGTGTAATCTTGGCTGTCCTGGACTCACTCTGTAGACCAGGCTGGCCTCTAACTCAAAGATCCGCCTGCCTCTGCCTCCCAAGCGCTGGGATTAAAGGCGTGCGCCACCACCGCCCGGCTAAGTGTTGGTTCAAACTTCAAGAGTCTGACACCAGCATAATTTGGTGAAACAATGTTCTGGTGATAATTAACACACTCCCGTGTGCCCAATACATCAAAACAATACACGTGACATCTCCATAAAGATGGGTTCTGTAGATTGAGTACACATGACAGCTTTTAAAGAAAATCTTATTTATTTTTGGTTTTTCAAGGCAGGAATTTCTCTGTGTAGCCTTGGCTGTCCTGGACTCACTCTGTAGACCAGGCTAGCCTCGAACTCAGAGATCCATCTGCCTCTGCCATACAAGACCTGTGGAATAAAAGGCTTGGACCACCACCACCCATCTGATTGATTATGTGTGACATCTTAAGTTTGGGGGAGGATCTGGCACGGTCTTGGTCAAAAAGATAGCACGAAGGACAGTAGAATATTAAGCACATCCACTCCCAGCCTTCTGGGTGGAAAACAGTTATATATCTCTTCCTTTGAAGAGACAACACTGCGTGCTTAATATTCCTTGTTTCCCTGGTGCTCACCTGTGAGAACAAGGACCTTGGTGCCACATAGCATTCTGTGGTTCTAAGGGGAGTTACAAAACCAGCTTAAGGGTCTCTCTGACTTTGGTCCCCAAGTCTCCAGAGTCAAGGCTCTTCCCTCTGCATACTCACCAAATAAAAAGGTGTTCCTCGATGGTGAGCCGATGGTAGCAAGGTCTGGAGGCACGTTGTGTGGCAGGAACCTAGCTCTCCATGCTATGTGGTACCCACGGACACCACCACAATAGCCTAAGGCAGAAAGTCAGGCAAAGCCAGCAGCTTATAATTTCCACTTCAAAATGCATCTCCCGACCCAGTCACCTGACCGTAGCTCACCTGGATGAGACTCCTGCCGTTGATCATGGTGAGACAGTCAGGGCCACGTTCCCAACACTGTCTTCCTATTTTGGTCTTTCCACACTGATGCTGGTGAGAATGCTCCTAATTAATGAGGGATAAAGAGTCACCATGAAAACAAGTCCTGTTTGTCTAAAACAGCTCTCCGCAGGACTACTGTCATATAAACAGTGAAGATGGGCTCAGAGGCTCACTCTCAGGGCTCCTCCCACCAAGGTCCCTCCTTCCAGCAGTCTTCCCTACATGCTATCATTAATGGCCTGTATCTCAACCTCAAAGCCCATCCCTCTTACGCTCCCTCCTAAAACAAATCTCCTTTAGTACACTGAATCATTTCTTCAAAGGCACACCAACTCCAAAAAATCACTTATGCCGGGCATGGTTGGGCACACCTTTAATTCTAGCACTCAAGAGGTGGAGGCAGGAAAATCTCTGTGAGTTCAAGGCCAGCCTGGGCTATAAAGTGGGATACAGTACTATAAAGAGACCCTCTCAAAAAAAGAAAGAGAAAAATGTAGCATCTCTAGGAAAACCTTGTAGCGGTGGGTACGTATCACTCACATACACCTATGTGTAATCCACCCTGGCCTTTCTAGACGCTAAAGTATCAAAACCTTGCTCTCTGATAGCAGGGAGAGAAGCTGAGAAAGGCTAAGCCAAAACATCTCCTATAAAGGCATGGTGGCACATGCCTTATCTAATCCTTGCACTTGGGAGACAGAGGCAGCCAAGCCAGAGCTACAGAGTAGGGCCCTGTCTCAAGATGAACAAACGAAACAAAAAGAACATAAACAAGATGTCTCCCATCACTGACTTTTACACGGTAGCCCATATCCTTCGGGGAAGCTGAACTGGTGGGTGAGTGGGAAGCAGGAGTGGGAGAAGGCGCCAGCATTTGAGAGGGACAGGACAGGACCTTTCAGACACGGGAAATGGCTTTCAGAAGCTCCGCTTCCTGCATTGTGGAGGACCAGAGCACAGACATTCCGTGGTCGCTTCTACGTGCTGGGAACTAGGAGGACTTGGGACAGACATATGTGCTCAAGTAGAACAAAAGTCACCTACCATCCTTCTCTCTTTTTTTCAAATACTGGCAATGAAGTTCTGAGTCGGTCTTTGACTGAGAGTGACAGACCTAGTTTTCCATGTCTAGTGTACCCTTATATGATCCCTCAAAGCCCTTGGCAGTATGCATGGCGCTGTATCAGAGGCAAGGGACAAATACCGCAGAGAGTGAACTGGACAAGAGAACTACCTCGAGTACAGGTGGGTCTAGAATGCTCCTAACAGCTCCCATGATGCTTCTGTAGACAGTGGCTCCACCTGAAAACAACATGACGCTGATAAGCACCAGACTTGCCGTTGCTCGCAGCAGGGCATGGGGAAACGGGTTGGCACAGGAGTCCCCAGACAGTAAGCATCCCGAAACTGTTGGCTCTCATTTCCAGAACAAACCCATTGTTCCCTCTGACTCCTTCAATGCACATTGTGTATGGTCTATGGCAGGGCAGCCGCCACCAATTACATCACTGACCTGAGTGACCCCCCCCCCCAACAGGACACAATGATGCAAGCAGTGGGTGTGTGGCAGTGTGCCACTGTGGACTGGCAACGACCTTGCTGCCCATCTAGGAGACCTTAAAACCCAGGGCAAAAAGCAAAAGTCCCAGTGACAGCAATGATGTGCCTGTGGGGTAGCTCCCATGGCCTAGGGGCCCAAGTGTATGCAGAGTTGGGAAATCACATACGGGAAAGCCCCCAGCACTGGAAGGCATGGTGTGGACCTTCCCAACACAGGACCATTCTTTCCACATTTCCTCTGCCTGCACTACCAATGACCAGGGCATGGGCTCCCCCTGATCACTTACAAACGCAGGAGCAGAGAGGGCAGAGGGCTTGCTGTCAAATGCAGAAGCTGAGATCAGCCAGCTCAGCTGGGTATACGGACTGAGGAGGTACATCTAATCCTATAAAAATTCCTTCCACAAGGCCAACAAGTGAAACAGAAAGAAGACACACAGCAAGATTTCTTAGGTTGTGGAACTGGGGTGGGGTGGGGGTCTCCTGACACTAAGGAAAACAGCCTAGTTGTTCTGCTTTCTGGAGCATAAGACATTGCCCTGGCTAGTTTCATGTCAACTTGACACAAAGTAGAGTTATCTGAAAGGAGAGACCCTCAACTGAGAAAATGCCTCCATAAGATCCAGCTGTAGGCAAGCCTCGAGGGCAGTTTCTTAATTAGCGATTGATAGATGGAGGAGGACCCAAACCATTGTGGGTGGGACCATCCCTGGGCTGGTGGTCCTGGGTTCTGTAAGAAAGCAAGGGAGCAAGTCAGTAAGTAGCACCACTCCATGGCCTCTGCATCAGCTCCTGCCTCGAGGTTCTGGCCCTGTTTGAGTCCCTGTCCTGGCTTCCTTCGGTGATGTGACATATGAGTCAAACACTACCCTTTCCTTCCCAAGCTGCTTTGTTCACGGTGTTTCATCACAGCAGTAAAAACCCTAACTAGGGCTGGAGAGATGGCTCAGAGGTTAAGAGCACTGGCTGCTCTTCCTGAGTTCAATTAACAGCAACGGCATGGTGACTCATAGTCATCTATGATGAGACCTGGTGCCCTCTTCTGGTGTGTAGGCAGGATATGGTATACGTGTAAATAAATCTTAAGGAAGGAAGGAAGGAAAGAAGAAGGAAAGAAGGAAACCCTAACTAAGGCCCAGCGGTGGTGGCGCACGCCTTTATTCACAGCAGTCTGGAGGCAGAGGCAGATGGATCTCTGTGAGTTCGAGGCCAGCCTAGTCAACAGAGCAAGTTCCAGGACAGGCTCCATAGCTACTATAAAACCCTGTCTCAAAAAAAAAAAAAAAAACAAAAAACCCTAACTATGGCAGACCTGGGTGCAGGAGGCTTTGATGCAGCATCCTTCCTGCTTCTGATTCAGACCTGCTGCTGCTAACCCACCAAAACAAGGGGGAATCACTGGAGACTCGGGACTGAAGCAGGCACAACAGGAATCAGATGTCCACCATTGCCCAAAAGGAGTAAAACTGGGGCACTGGATACAGTCACCTTCATCTTCTGTCCATTTACTTCTCAAGCTATCCCGTTCCTGGGAACCTGTGAGCATCCCTTGGGGACAGCCATCTTTCTTATTTGTTTGTTTGTTTTATTTTTTCATTTATTTTACATACAGACAACAGTTTCCTCTCCCCCCTTCTCCTGTTGCCTCCCCCTCCTTCCACCCTTCTCCCTCCCCTGCAATCCACCTGCCCACTTCTCCTCCTCTGTTCAGAAAGGGGCAGGCCTCCCACGGGAGTCAACAAAGCTTGTCACATCACCTAGGGGTAGAACCAAGTTCCTCCCCCTGCATCAAGGCTGGGTGAGGCATTCTGTGAGGAATAAGTTCCCAAAAGCCAGTTCAAGAGCCAGGGACAGGTCCTGATGCCACTGCTTGGAGCCCACAGACAGACCAAGCTACACAACTGCGGGGGTGTGGGGTGTGACACAGTCATCTTAAGAACAGACCTTACCATGGGAGCACTGTGATGCAGCAGCTTCTTGGCAGGGTAGAGATTTCTCTCGTGGCCCCTCTGCACCAAGGTGTCAGTTCTGCGGTAAACAAGAGGCACCTTTAAATAAGCATCTAAATGTCACTGGTTAAATCGGTTCTGGGCAGCACATGAAGAGGTCCCAGTGCAAGAGCCACATAAAACAGATACAGGGAGACTGGGTTATTTGTGACGCAACATTTTCTGGTGACTCAGCATGGGGGGGCATTGGCAGCATCACAGGAACAACAAATCATCTATGACAGGGCACTTTTCAGATCTTTTGTGCAAGCTCGGGTAAACTGAGGAGGTTCGAGAAGGTTCCTTTATCCTGTCTCCTGTCAAAGATCCTCAAATGGAAAAAGGTTGGCCAACTTCAAAGACCTCAGCCCTGTGCAACCATCATTTCAAAAATATTGGTCAAAAGGAGACCAATTTAGGGTCAAAATGAGAAATCGGTTTCATTCAACACCACAGATAAGGCAGAGCTGCCATGTAACCAGGCACAAACCTGCCTTTGCAGCTTCCCTACCTGAGAAGGAATGAACTATATTCACTTAGGACCTGGGGTCTTTCTGGCCTGAGTCCAGACTCCCAAGGACCCCACCAGACTTTCCTGCATAGGGTCTTTGCTGGGCTGTCATCAGAACCTGCCTGAACTCCACACCACCCCTCTGCTGGTACCCATGGAAAGACAATTAGGGGGCACTCTGGCTTCAAGGTGCACCCGCAGCACTTACCGGGACTCCTGTTTCCTGGACAGTGACGCCCACCAGAGAGTGCGGAGAATAGGGGAGAGGGGCTGCCGCAGACCAGCTTCGTCATCCTTCGTGGTGTCAAGAGAGCCTCTTAGCCAAGGCCCAGCAGGGAAACAACCACTGGGAATGGGTTTCACCGCAAGACACCACACCGGAGTTCAAGAGCAGAGTCCCAGGATCCTGGGCGCATCAACTTGAGAGGATGCAGATCTGAACGCGGGTCAACAGTCCGAGGACCCTGTGTAGAAAAAGACAGGCGGCTTCATATGCCACATAAATTTGAGGCACCAGGACTCAGCCCCCAACCCTCCCATCTCTTCCCAGGGGCGCTGACACCGCGTCCCCAGGTTGTTCCTCACGAAGGCTCCCTCCCCAGAGGTTGGGCCATCAGCCCCGGGAAACCGAGATCCCAACCCACCAAAGAACTCCTTCCGAATATTCCGGGAAGTTCACAGTCCGCAAGGGTGGGAGGTTCAAACTCTCACCCTAACCTCTGGGGTCCTGGGTTTCCCGAGTTTAGGAGACTGGAGGTCTTGGAGGCGGCCAAGAGCGCAGACCCGAGGTGACTTCACCTAGCGAGCTGAGACGTGAAATAAAAAGTGCGTGAGTGCCGCAGTGTAGGACTGCGCAGGACACTTCTCAACACCGCAGTGTCTACCCAGCTGCGGCTGCGCGCGCTGCAGGCTCCAGCTGCACCAGTGCACAGCCAGCCTGTGCGTGTGGCTCTGCAGCGTCCCCTGCGGGAGTAGAACTGAAATGCTAGCCCTCCCGCAAGGCTCTCCTTCCTTAGTCCTAGCTTCCATTCTACCAAACCGTTTATTCATCCATCCATGCATCCATTTTGCCAGTAAGTATGTGTGGAACGTCAGCTTCCTCTCATTTGCCATCCATCCTGTTGTCCCATCTGTCCTCTCATTCATTAAAATATCCATCCACTCACCCATGCGTTGTGATTCATTCACCTAAGCATGCGTCTGTATGCCTGTCCATCAATCCATCTATCCATCCACTCATCTTTTCATTAACCTACCATCTAACTTTGCACCCACCCAAAATATCTACCGAGGAACTACTTCGTATCAAGCGCTAGACTATGCTCTAGAAATAAAAGGTCTAAGACAGGCATGATCCCTAACTAGGTTACATTTTAATGGGCGCGTTAAACAAATAGGTCAGAAAATTAAAAATCATAAGCACAGCTGGTGCAGGCCTTTAATTCCAGCACTGGGGAGGCAGAGGCAGGTGGATCTCTGAGTTGGAGGCCAGCCTGTTCTTCAAAGAGAGCTCCAGGACAGCCAGGGCTGTTACACAGAGAAACCCTGTTTGGAAACATCAAACTGCCACACACACAAGTATAAGCGCTACAAAGGAAATAGGAACAGCAGTAGGCAGGTTGTAACAGTGGTGACCCATTTATCCCTGGTGGACAGCAGGGCCTTCTCTGAAGAAAAAAAAAAAAAGACATTTAATCTAAAGCCTGGAGGAAAATAAGTAATGCATCATGAACCATTAACTATGTTATCTTCAGGAGAGTATTAAAAAGTGAAGTAAAGTGGAGACAAAGTTCCTGCAAATTGGTCAATGATGTTTCTTGTTTTGTTTAGGTTTTCTAGATACAGGATCTTTACACATCCCTGGCTGTCCTGGAACTCGCCCCTACCTCCTACCTCCTGAGTGCTGGGATGAAAGAAAGATGTGTGCCAACATACCTGGCTGTTTCTCGGGCTTTTTAAAAAGTTATGTTGATTTATGTATGTAAGTGTGTGTGTTTGGTGAGCATATGCGTGCCATGGTGCACATCAGATATCAGAGGACAGCTTCCAAGAGTTGCTTCTCGGTTCTCTTTTTCTACCCTGCAGCCTAGGATTTGACCTCAGGTTGTCATTCTTGGTGGCAAGTGACCTTCCTGGTCGAGCCACCTAGCCCAGTCTAGTCATGTTTTCCCAGGACGACACGATTGCAATGCCTGTTCTCAATGCAACAAAGGACTGTGACTAACAGCCAGTGCTTTGGGGCACACACAATATTCCAGGCATTTTGACTCATTTAGTTATTAGGCCAGTATTCCGGACTGAATGGGCTCCCTCCCCTAAATCCATTTGGTAATCCTACCTCCTACCGTGCGGTTGCAGGATCTTTGGGGGGGGGGGGATCAGGTTATGAGGGCGGGCCCCTTCTAAGAGTTCCCTGGAGTTTACGTCTTCCTTCTGCCACTTGGAGACAATATGGAAGGCAGCCATCAGTCTGTCAGACAGGGGTAGGGTGGGGGCAGGGAGCTTGCCAGATACCAAATCTACAAGGCCCGGGACCTCAGACTCGCATTGTGTCACTGTGACAAAATTCTGAGGAAATCGACTTAAAAGAGGAGAGATTTGTCTTTGTTTTGTGGTTTCTGGGCCTGTAGTGAGGCAGACTGTGGAGTAGTCAAGGAGTATGTGATGTAAACAAAGATGCTCAGGGTGGCCAGAGAGCAAAAGAGAAAGGGCTGAGCTTCCAAAACCCTGCCTCCCCCCCCCCCCCGCCCCCCATGTGCCTCCAGTCACCTCTCCTCCTTCTACTAGGCTCTACCTACCAAGTCATTAGCACACGGCCTTTGGGGTCATTTCTATTCCAAAGCATAAAGTCTGGGCTCCAGGACCGTAAGAGATAGATTCCTATTGTTTATCAGCAGCTTGCTTATAGTATTTTGCTATGGCAAGCTCAAATGGACTCAGAACCCAATTCTATAAGCATCATTCCATTTGCTAAGATGATAAAAAAAAAAAGGCATTGTTTGAAGGACTTATCCCATGTCATATAGTTCACATATCAAGAATTGTGCATGCTCTAAGTGTCAACTGTTATGCCCAGTCCATGAAGTCCCCCAAAAGCCAACAAGGAGACTGTGTCCCGTATGTAAAAGCAAAGAGTCTTTATTTTATGCAAGTTTGTAAACTCAGTCTCTCCGTGTGTCCAACGTATTGGAATAACGGAGAGCCCCGAACTCTGTTAGAGTTGGGTTTTTATAGTAGTAAAGGTGGGGGTGAGGGATTTCTAAGGTTCAGGACCCCTGATTGGCTGACATTTGTCTAAGGGTGTCCTGGTGAGTGTGTGCTGGTAGGTGATCTTATCTACAATGGTTGGAACATTGGGAATTTCCTTTGGTTGGTCTGTTCTTGGGTGGTGCCTGGGTAATCTCAGTTTGTGGTCCTTCAGGCAACCAGGTATTACCTTAGGGTAAACTCATGCAATTCCAGCCTCAGAAGGTGGAGGGGGGGCGGGGGGGGGGGAGAATGGGACACAATGACCCTAGAGCAAGCTGACTAGCAAGGCTAGCTTTATCTGTGAACTCAAGTTTTTATTGAGAGATCCTGCCTCAGTGAGTAAAATGGAAGGGCAGTCAGGGAGGATCCCCAGCACCAACCTTGGGCCTCCACATGCATGTACACACACATGCAAAAACATGCGTGCATACCATATGCACACACACATGCAAAAACATAATGCATACCATACATACACATGCAAAAACATGCAGGCAAACCATACACACATGTAAAAACATGCAGGAATGCCATACACACACATGCAAAAACATGCAGGCATACCACAGAGAGAGAGAAAGAGCAGAGACAGAGACAGAATAAACAAGCCGAAAAGGAAGAACCTAGAGGGCCTCTCTGCCCTTTGTACCATATGAGACATTTAGCTCTGTTCCTGCATTTGGAAGTGGTCCCCAGCCACCTTTTACCTGGTTGTTGCAGGCAGAGGAACATGGAAAGTGTGCTCTGGGCTTCAAGAACCCTTGCCCATTCCTGGGAACCCGGTGCTTTTCCTGTATATGACTTTCCACATGTTCAGATCTCAGGGATTACAGACTGTGGTTTCCTTGTGTGGCCTTTCTTTTCTTTTCTAAAATAAATGTACAGATTTTTTTAAAGTTTTTTTTTTTCTGTTTGATTTTTTGAGACAGTTTCTTTGTGTAACAGCTCTGGCTGCCCTGAAACTCACTCTGTAGACCAGGCTAACTCCAAACTCACAGAGATCTGCCTACCTCTGCCTCCCCAGTGCTAGGATTGAAGGTGTGTGCCATCACTGCCTTGCTAAAGTCATTTTTAGTACTTGTAAGTATATGTATGTGTCTATGTGTGAGTGGGTATGTGCATGTGAACCCAGGTCCTCTGGAAGAGCAGTACACGTATTTAACCATTGAGCCATCTTTCCAGCCTCTTGCTTGCTCTTTATAAGCGATTTCTCAGCTAAAACCAGACTGTGTAAATCAAGATTATTTGTCCCCAGAGTATGGTTAGCTATATTATATTAACAATAAGGGATGACTAGGGAGCCCAGAGCGTGATCCTGCCTCACTAATCAGGAAGGTTGTAATGAACCAGAGTAGGACTGGGTGTGATGTTGGGTGCACATGGGAAGCTGGGAGTCGCTCAGGACCGAGGGTGATGTCACTCTTTCTGTCTGCTCTCCGTCTCTAAATGTCCTGTTTGCTGCAGTGTGCAGGTCAGGTGGAGAAACCAGCTTCTTCTTGCTCCGTACACACCGGCTCTCCCTTACTTTTTATTTACTCAACTATTTTCGTTTAGCCCTGGTGATCTTTCCCCTGTCGCTTTTCCTTGCCTTCTCAGGAGACAGCCTTACCAGTGTGGTACAAATTGTTCTGTTTCACTTTTTACTATTGACTGTCCTCAGTGATCAACCACCTGCATCTCCTGGTGAGTCGGAGAGAAAGAGTCCAGGTGATGCTATGGTGGTGGGAATGGGAGAGGTGCTTTAAGTTCCTGTGAGCTGCGGGGAGTCAACTTGGATCCACTCAAACAGCATTTCGTCAGGTCCAAGCAGCGCCTGATGGTTCTACAGAGCCTGGACAGTGAAGTGAAACAGCCAGATAATACAGGCTGTGGCCAGCACCCCAGCTTTCTTAGTCCCCCCCAAAGATCGTGAGGCCCCAGGTCAGCATGAAGCGGTCGTCAGAACACAGCGTCCTCACACCTGCTACCCCTTTCTAACTCCTCACGTTTTTATAATAAACAAAAGGGAGGAATGGTAGTATTCAGGCATCTGCACCGGCCTGCCCTAGGGGTCCTGACAGGATACGTCCTCAGCTGCAGCCAGTGATGCCCACTTCTGTGGGGTTAGTGAAGATCTTTTCCCATTCTGTAGGCTGTCATTTTGTCTTGTTTACCATGTCTTTTGCTTTACAGAAGCTTTTCAGTTTTAGGAGGTCCCATTTTTTAATTGTTTCTCTCAGTGTCTGTGCTGCTGGGGTTATATTTAGGAAGTGGTTCCCTGTGCCAATGCGTTCAAGTGTACTTCCCACTTTCTCTTCTATAAGGTTCAGTGTGGCTGGCTTTATGTTGAGGTCTTTGATCCATTTGGACTTGAGTTTTGTGCATGGTGATAGATATGGGTCTGTTTTCATTTTTCTACATGTTGATATCCAGTTATGCCAGCGCCACTTGTTAAATATGCTTTCTTTTTTCCATTTGATATTTTTTGCTTCTTTATCAAATATCAGGTGTTAGAAGATGTGTGGATTGATATCCGGGTCTCCTATTCAGTTCCATTGGTTCTCCTGTCTGTTCTTATGCCAATACCAGGCTGTTTTCAATACTGTAGCTCTGTAGTAGAATTTGAAGTCAGGGATTGTGATGCTTCCAGAAGTTCTTTTATTGTACAGGATTGTTTTGGCTATCCTGGGTTTTTTGCTTTTCCATATGAAGTTGAGTACCGTTCTTTAAAAATTTTGCTGGGCATTGCGTTGAATCTGTCAAATAAACGAATCTTAAAAACAATCGAGAACAGTGTTTGACCTTTGCTTTTCCACATCAAAGTTAAACCTTTGATAAAATGAACACACACCTTGAAAATATTTAACAAAAGCATCTTAATGAAAAAAAGAGAAAATTTGAAAAAAGAATCCTTTAACTTTTTAAAACTTGGGACCAGTAGTTAACATTTCTTCCAGAAAACATCTCCCAGGGTGCAATGGGGCAGAACTGTGAGCCCAGCACTGGTAAGCCTGAGGTTGGAGAATTGAAAGTGTGAGGCCAGCCTGGGCTACAAAGGAGTGGGGATATAGCTAAGTCTAGCCTGCTCAGGACCTTCTGTTCTTCAGTATGTAGCAAAACAAATTCAAAGTCTACTTGACAGTATCTAGAATCACTTAGGGAATAAAAGGGGTTCTAGAGTGGATGAACTAAGGTAGAAAATCTCATTCAAAATGTAGGTAGCAGCATTCCATGGGTTCGAGGCTCAATTAAAAAGGAGAGAGAGAGAGAGAGAGAGAGAGAGAGAGAGAGAGAGAGAGAGAGAGAGAAGCACCAGCATCATCTTTTTCCACTTCCTGATCTCAGATGCAGAACAACCAGACGCCTCACGTTTTTGCCACCACGACAGACTGTAACCTTAAACTGTGAGCCCCCAAAAAGCTTCCCTTCCTTAACAGGCTTGTGCCAGGCATCTTGTTGCAGCAATAAGAGAAGCAACGAATACACTTTGGCTCTGAAGGTAACCAAACATTGAGCTCAGAATCCACGAAGTGAAGGACTGCATTTCTCAGAGAGCTCACCCACTGCATGTGCGTTCTCCTTCATCTCCAACAGCCCTGCACAGTCTCACTACCTCGGGCTTAATATTCTTCTCTTTTGCTTTATGAAGCAGGGGTGGGGAGGGGGGGTCAGTCCCACAAACACACTATTAGGAGCTATTCTTAGGAGTCTTTATTAGAAGGACCTGCTGTTTTAAGCATCGGATGATGTACCATAGGGTCACTCTGCTGCACCAGAGGTGGCTTCCTGGGAAAGTGTGCCCCTCCAGTCATACATTTTTGTGGCATCAGCTCAGCATTTCTAGCACTTGTGCCTCCCAGTCACAGACTCTGATGCCAACAGTGTGCCCTGTGCACAGCCTGCACAACTGTATGTGCCAGCAGTCCCTGGAGCCCCTGGAGCAGTTTAGGGACCGCTGAGTTACCCTGGATGCCAGGCTGGCCAAGGCTCCCACCAGGTTTCAGCCTCAGATTTCAGGAGTCTGGGCTTATTCTTGCAGATAGATGCAGTAACAGATGAGCAGAAAGAAGCAGAGGAGGAGAATGGACAGGTACAGCATAGCACCCAGCAGGACAGACATTTGTGCTCGGGGACAGGGCCTGCAGATCTTCTTGCAGGCCTCAGTGAGCTTGTGGCTGATTTCCTGTCGTGACCCTGGGCATCTGGCAACCTTGACTTCTCCTCTTCTTCCTCCAGGCAGGAGCCCCAGGCCTCAGGAATCCAGCCATTGTGAGGTCACAAACTCTCAGAGGGTAGAATTTTGTTCTCCCAGCTCTAGCCAGACTCTATTAATAAAACCTGTATGTTGAAAGAAAGAATCCTGATATAGAATCTTCTTTCTTTCTTTCTTTCTTTCTTTCTTTCTTTCTTTCTTTCTTTCTTTCTTTCTTTCTGCTTGGTAAGTGGACTTCCCTTTACATCTAGAAAGTACTGGGCACGTCCTGTAACTCTTTTGATTCATTCTTGTTTTTGTTTTATTTATTCTTAAAAAAATAAAATTTTTTTACAAAAGCTGGGTGTGGCTGGGGGGGGTTCCACAACCCACACCTTTAATCCCAGCATTCAACAGATAGGGGCAGGTAGACATTTGGCGGTTAGCTTGGTGTACATAGTGAGTTCCAGGCTTCCAAACACACAAGGGCTACATAGTGAGACCTGTCTAAATAAAAATTTTTAAAAGTTGGGTATGGTGGTGGTGGTGGTGGTGGTTTGAAAGAAAATAGTGTCCAAAGGGTGTAGTGCTATCAGGTGGTGTTGGAGGAAGTGTGTCACTGTCGGGGTGGGTTGTTAGGTCTCCTATACTCAAGCTAAGCACAGGGTGGCACCCAGTCCACTTCCTGTTGTCCTCAGATCAAGATGTAGGACTCTCAGCTCCTTCTCCTGCACCATGTTTTCCAGCATGCCACCCACCACGAAGATAATGGTCTAAATCTCTGAATCATAAGCCAGCCCCAGTGAAATACTTTCTATTATAATAGTTGTCTTAGTCATGGGGTCTCCTCACAGCAATAGAAACCCTAAAACAGAGACCTATAGTCCCTGTATTCTGGATGCTGAGAGTTTGTGTCCAGCTTGTGTAACAGGACAAGACGTTGTCTTGTAAGGCCTGGGGATTTAGCGCAGAGGCAGCAGGCCTTGTCAGTATGCACAAGGCCTTCAACTTGATCTTTACTACAAAATATAGAATAAAATAAACCTTCAATAACTGGACATCAGAAGCAGAGTTTCTTTTCAGGTACTTTAATGCTTAGCCTAAGCTTGCTTTTTTTTTCTCCCTGAGACAGGGTTTCTCTGTGTAGCTTTGGAGCCTGTCCTGGTACTTGCTCTGTAGCCCAGGAGCCCAGGCTGGTCTTGAACTCCCAGAGATCCGCCTGTCTGTAACTCCCAAGTGATGGGATTAAAGGCACGCACCACCACTTTCCCTTCTTGACCCTTCTGGGGTCAAGTTGCTGCTCTGGGAGGGCACCATGGTACTGCCGGTGGGGAGAGGAGGAGAGCACAGGGTGTGGGGGTGTTACAGTATTGAGTTCATAAGATACATCATGAGAATTCTATTTTTTGTCTTAAAAAAAGATTTTTAAGTAATTTTTTTATGTATGAGCGTTTTGCCTGCATGTACCATAAGTGTTTCACAGATACACAGTGTTAACAGTGAACAGCAGAAGGTATCAGATCCCCCTGAAACTGGCTTACAGACAGGAGCATTAAGGGCCTCAAAGTGAAGACTGAGAATTGAACCGAGGTCCTCTGCAAGCGCTTTTAGCTACTGAGCCACCTCTCCAGCCCTGGCTATCTTTTGTCTTTTACAAGTCACTCTTAGGGGTGTTGGAGACATGGCTCAGTGGTTAAGAGTACTGGCTGTTCTTACCAGCAACCACGTGGTCGCTCACAACCATCTGTAAGGAGATCTGGTGCCCTCTTCTGGCCTGCAGGGATACAAGCAGGCAGAACACTCAATACATAATAAATAAATAAATAAATAAATAAATAAATAAATAAATAAATGGATTTTTTTTTTTAAAGTCACTCTTAGAAAACCTAAAATTAGGGCTGGGCATGGTGGCTCATTTCTTGGGGGGGGGGGTGCAGAGGTGTGTCTGTAAGACTACTTTCCTCAGCATATCCCAGCAACCACATCCCACAGTTCCCTCCCATCACAGAGACCCACAATATCCAATCCCAGAACCCTGTGAGCATCTCCCAAGTGTGGAATATGGCATCCACTCACCACTTAGGACTCCCGTTCCCTCAAGGTTGCACGGCAGAAGTTTGAATTTTCCCTTTCTCCCGACCTAGAGAGTCTCTGGAATCTTCCAGTGGAGTTCCCCTTCAGACCCAAGGGCAGTGCTACCGTAAGGCCAAGAGCCACATTTGACCTAGGATTCAGGCCAAATTTGAAAGGGGGTGGGGGTGGGGGGAAGGACTTAGAGGTGTGAGCCCCTTCCCTAGACGTCAGTCCGTCATCTCTGCCGCTTGGTCGGGTCTCTTCTGGCTAAGGGAATCGCTCCATCTGCCTTTCTCTTGAGACTTTTAGGAAGACGTTTATTAAAGCATTCATTTTTGGTCCACTTCTCTGGGCTAATCTTCTCACCTCCACTTTCCAGTCTCAAACCCTTACTGACATCTCCCTGTGGTGGTTTTTGAAGAAACAAGACTGTAACTCATCATTTGTTCCTTTGTGGCACCACTGATACAGGTGTTATGGAATCAGTAGTGAATAAGATGAATCGGCTTCAGAACAAACAAACAAACAAAAAAAAAACGAAATGAAGGAAGGTTTCTTTGTAAACTCCGCCTCTATCAAAAATCAGCAACACGTCCAAGCTGTTGTTGTTGGCCTTCTCTGCTCCAGGGGGCGCTGGAGTTCCCGCCGGTCGGGATTGCCGCTCTAGGCTGCAGCGCGCCTTCATATCTGTACTTCCGCCGGCGCTCATCGTGAAGAGGGAAGCTTCCTGTCGCGTGCATGTGAACCCTGTGTGGCCAGTGCCATCCACCGAAATCTACAGACATCTTGCGTGCTCCCGAGCTCTTTGCTCCTCTGCCCAGTGCAGGGTTCCAAGGTGAGTGCATTGGGGCTCGTGGGCAGCGCCGTTCCCTCCATCAGGGAAACTGAGGCCCGTGGGCTGATAGTGGACGGCGGCTCTGGGTCTGGAGGAGGGCGCCTAGCCCTGTGCTTTTCGTGTCCCAGCCCTCCGCCGTGGAGTTGTGGTGTCTGAAGCACCGAAGACATGTCTGTCGCCTCCGAAAATTGATCGTTGCTTACGACCTGTGGTCCTGTTTTTAGAATCCTTCCAAGGCGAACTCGTGGACCAAGGTTTAAATTGAGAACGCTCCCAGGACCCCTGGCGCGGCGTCCAGATACCTGTGCCCTGTCTTCCGCTACAGCTCCTTCTCTTATGCTTTTCCTGCCAGACCCGTAGGCTGTGCAGCCCTCCTGAAGACCGATGGAAGCTCCCTGGGTCGACAGATTACAGCTTCTGCACCCCCTGGGGTCCCCTACTCTCTTCAACTCCCTGGTGGATGCCCGTTGTCCCTGGAGAGAATGCTTGGGTAAGTGGTGATATTCCGGAGCAATGTGAAGCCTCCGCATGGTCTTCCGGTGGGCACCAGCAACGGGATGGTGTGTGTGGAGTTCAGACGGCTTTTGAGAAAGACCTGGCAAAGCCACTGTGCAGAGAGAAGCTTGGTGGGGGCCAGAAAGACCAAAGGCCGCATGGTTGGTTTTATTTCGAGACAGGGTTTCTCTGTAGCTTTGGAGTCTGTCCTGGAACTAGCTCTTGTAAACCAGGCTGGCTTCAAACTCACAGAGATCCACCTGCCCCTGCCTCCCCAGTGCTGGGATTAAAGGCGTGAGCCACCACCACGCGGCTATGGTTGATCTTAACTTTCAAACCCAGGACAAACAGATGAGGTTCCCATTTACTATACCAAAGGAAGCCTGTCCTCCATGTTTCTCCCAGCTTCCCTCAGACCCTACCTGTTACACAGGGTATGGCTGGCAAACGCCACCCCCACACTGAACTCTCCAGTCCAGGGACTGGGCCGTCCCCCTCCCCCCCCAAGGCACTTCCCTATATAATCCAGATATTGGTTACCTGCCCTTTTTGAACCTTTGCCCTCCTGGTTGCTTACCTGGTTTCCCTTCTTTCCCCTTCTCCCTCCCACGTGGCCCAGCTTAGTCTGGTCATGTCCACTCTGGACATATCCCTGACTCTTAACTATGCTCTCCCGTACATCTATAATAAACTTTCTCCTCCTTCACCATACGTAGGAACAGCTTGTCTTTTACTTTGCTTCCCCTCCCCCCGTTTAATTATTGAGCCACAGACAGACAACAGAATGGTGAGACTCTGAGGACAGTTGAGGTCCATGTTGCATGGGGGGGGGGTCCCTTATAGATTTCAAAGGAAATGGAGAGTGGTGTGGGAGGTTCTTCTATGTGTTGATTTTATTGGTTAATGAATAAAGAACTTCTTTGAGCCTATGGCAAGGGCAGAACAGAACTAGGCGGGAAAAGCTAGACTGTATGCTGGGAGAAAGAAGGGCGGAGTCAGACGCCATGGAGCTGCCGGTAAGCCACTGCCATGTGGTGATACACAGATTAATAGAAATGGGTTACATTGATATGTAAGAGTTAACCAATAAAAAGCTAGAGCTAGTGGGCCAAGCAATGATTTAAGTAATACTGTATCTGTGTTTTTATTTGGGGTCTAAGCTAGCCAGATGGCCGGGAAACCAACAAACAGCCTCTTCCTACAGGGAGAGTTCATGCTGCATGTTTGCTGACTAGCAGCTTCTGTGTCTGGTGTTCTCTGTGCTTTGCAGGTAACTGGGTAATGTTCAGGTTGCTCACCTGGGCTTCTTGTTTGCAGAAATAACAGCTTGGGCACACAGCGACCATAAGAGATGTCTCCATCCTTCCAGACTGATAGACCATGTTGTTCCTTAGTGAGGATTGTCCCCGGGCATCTGGAGCTCGGTATCCCGAAAGAATATGTGCAGTTTCCCGGATTGCCTTTGGGAGTGTGTGAAGGTGAGGGAGGCTGAGTTCCTCAGATCCACATTTCCCCTCCTTGGGGGCTTTGAAGTTTGCCTTCTTCTGACTGTCCTTAGTTCTCCTGTCCCCACTTTACTTGGTGGGTGTCAGCAGGAAGGATCTGGTGGGTCATCTGCCCATATCTCAGTCACTCCTCTCTGCTAACTCCTGGACCTTCTCTGGTCCTTGGTTTCCTCGTCTGAAAATTGGGGCCACTGGACAGGAGAGTTCTGTGAACTTCAGCTCTCCTGGCTAGGACGTGCTGGATCCACTGCAGTAGATAGAGGGCGCCAGTTAGACCCAGCCCAGGCTGCGGATCCCAGCCAATCACCTCAGCTCTCCTTAAGGACCCACAACTGATCACTCTTTCCTCTCTATTGCAAATCTGGCTGTTGCTTGTCTGTCCATGTGTTTCCAGTTTAACCGTTTTCCAGCTTGGCCAGAGCCTTTCGCCTTTCCTCAACTTTGCCACTGTTCTTTATGCCCTGTATTCGAAAGTGATCGTGGGCTGCCTGTGCCCTGGTCATTGATACTGCAGGGAGAGGATGCGGAAAGACTTTCCCCGTGTTTGGAGGATCCACACTGTCCTTGCCGAACCCTGGTGCTTTCCCACACCACTTCCTGCCTGTCACCCTGGCACTTTGGTAGGCAGCCATATGATCAACCTGGGGCTGGCCTCCAGGAGTGCATGGGCGGGCAGGGCATGGAGCTTAGGTGCTGCTCTCTTAATTCAGAAGTCTCCACACCCATTGTCTCCTCCTAGGACACTTGAGACCTTGTAGAACTTGTTTCCTTGCTTGACTCCTAGCAATACTCTCTTGCTGTGTTGTCAAGAGTCAGGGTTCTTACGGGAACAAATGAAAGGCAAAGAACAATCCCTCGTAAGGCATTGTCGCCTGTAAACCGAGTAAGCAGCCTGCACGTGGAGTTCCCAGGGGAGGCAGATTGCTGTTCTCTTCTCCCACCCCCACGCCTTGTGGCCTACTTTAGACCACTGCCTTGGGTAGCCACTTGGAAAGGGTTTTTCTTTGCACCCCTGTGGGAACAGACAAGAAGGAGAGCTGGACAACACAGAATAATAAATGATGTGTCTGTGCTGCCCTTACAGCCAGGTCCGTGCCCTGTGCCGCCAGAGGACAGCACCTGCCAGCGAGCCATGGCCCTGATGCGCCTTTGAGCAGCCTGCACAGCAGAGCATCGGGCTTGTCTCCAGAGCGCTCCAGGTAAGATGTGAGACCCTTGTTGCTGCTCGAGTGATTGTAACAGGTATTCAGAGACTCAGTACTGTGTTCAGAGGGGCCTGCTCGGGAGTTCAGTGCTTGAATCTAAAGCTGGCTCTGTCCAGCCTGGAGCTTCAGCCTTTGAGCCCTGGAGTTTGTAGTTTTCCCTGTTGCTTTAGTGGCTGCCTAGGGGAGGTGAGGATGAGAAGGGGGTTCTGTGGATCCTCCCAAAACTTGGATTATACCTGTTACCCCCCAGAGCCCGGCTAGGAGAGAGCTTCGGACTTTCCCAGGGTTAGCCTGTTGTAAGGGGAAGGAAGAAGCGCACTGAAGACACCTGTGTGTGCCATCATTCCACTCTGACCTTTGCTTTGTCATTACAATAGCAGTTACTGGTCGGTGGTACAGTAAGAAGCTGATGTAAGGGGAAAGGAAGGGCTGAGGGTAGTGTGGAGCCTCTGCACTGGCTTCCCGAGGCACCCTCCCTCAGCATTGGAGCAGAACCCACCTCTCCCCCAGTGACAGAAGTGCCCCCATCTGTGTGTGCACCCCCAAAGCTGTATCTCGGTGGCTGTGATTTTTCTGGTTCTGGTCACCTAAACATTGACTGCTCAGTGTGACTAGAAATCAAACCTAACTGGTGGAAAACGGGCTCAGCCTAGACATACTGTCTGCCTTGAACCCCAACCTGTGACCAGCTGATACCTAGCTAGTCCCCAGACCCCACCAAGAGGCAATCTCCACTTGATGGCTTGGAAACCCAAAGCCATGACAAAGGTTTTTATGGACATGAGTTCACAGGACTGACTTCCAGCCCCAACAGGTTCTGGTAGTTTTGCCAGTTGAGTAGCCCTTGTCCTCCTTGGCACATTGATGCGGTTCCATGTGATTGACTTTAGTACAGTATCCGTGTGTTCATTGTGGCTTGAGTGTGGCCCTGGCATCAGTCTCTTGTCTTTCCTAGGTCTTATGTCCTTCTGCCCCTGCATCCGAAAGTGATCTTGGCTGCCTGTGCCGTGGTCATTGGTAGTGCAGGGAGAGGATGCTGAAAGACATGTTCCTGAGTTTGGGGCGCCCATCCTGCCCCCTCAAAAGCCTAGAGCTTTCCTACACTCTGCAGCTTTGTAGCAGTGTGTCCCTTTCTGGAAGCTGCACAAGTCAGTGCTGGGTCTTTGCAGCTTGATGTCTTGTTTCTAGAAACCTGTGAGGTGATAGGCCAGCACACATTTCCAGAGAGCCGCGTCTGAGGGCCTTGTGCCTCAAATAGGGGTCCTTGAGTGTGTATTGAGAGGGGAGCTTCCTGGTACAGAGTGGGTCGCTTCCTCGCATTCGTGTGCCTTGAAGTATGTATTGGCATCGCTTGCGAGCCACAGTTCTTAGCCAGTTTTCTTCTGCCGGTTGTGTAACCCTTTGGAACTTTCTTTAAAATGTATGGTTTGCAGGCCAAAATACAGCTTGCATTCTTTTTACTTATGTGTATGTGTGAATGCACATGTGTTTGTGCCACATGTGTGCCCGTGAAAAGGTTATTGGGGAATTAGAGTCTAAGGGTGAGTTCATGGCCATGCTGGAGCAGGAGCTGAGAGCTACTTGAGACAAGTCTCACAGCGCAACTACCAGGCAGACAACTGAATGCCATGGGCTCAGAGCCTCCCTCGCCATGACACACCTCCTAATCTTTCCCAAACAGTTTTTTTTTTATTGTTATTATTTATTTATTTATTTTAGGTTTTCAAGACTGGGACTGAATATTCAAATATATGAACTTATGGGGTCATTCTTATTCAAACCTGCACACACATCCAAATTGCTTCTTACCAAAACTAAAAGCAGTTAAACCAAATTCTTTATCAGAAGTTAATGTATTCTATATAGAGGAAGAAATAACTCAGAGCCTTTACCTGTGCAGGATGGATACAGTCAGCAGGTGAAGTACAGAAATAAGGAGCTGGGATGTGTCTCAGTGGCAAAACGCTGGTGCAATGTGTTGTGAATTGAGTTCCCAGCATGGAGAAGAAAGGCTCTGGGAAGACGCGGTTGCAGCCCGCCCACCTCCAACCGCTAGTCGTGTCTTGGTTGACTGTGAGGTGTTGATTGTGGCTTGTCTCTGTAGGATTGTCAGCTGATCTTTGCTGTCTGTGTCAGCAGTCCTCGCGTTGCAAGAAGTGACTGGAACAGGGGCCTTGCCAGGTATGAATCTGATGCTTCAGGGGAGCAGCAGTGGTCCAGGAAATGCCTCAATCATGAGGAAAAGCAGAGGCTGCTCCCTATTGCTGCTTCCCCGCCCAGGCCAGCGGGGATATGCCTCCCCCCTCTGCCACCTCACTTCTGTTCATCTTCATGGTGTGAAATGGGAGCATAGGGAGCCACTCTGCGGTCACAGTTCATTCAGGGGGTGCAGGCAACTTTCTGTAAACTTGGGTGGGAAACTTGTTAGGAAGCAGCCCCGTCCCAGACTTCCTGACCTAGTGAGTACTCAGAAGTACCCCCACGTGTGTCCATTGCTTAATTCTCTTTAGTAGGAGACCATTGAAGTAATGGTTCTCAGGTTGGTTCCTGAAGCAAGCACTGCCACCATCACCTTGGAGCACGTTAAGAGATCATATCTGGAGGCAGCATTTAGCAGGCTCTCCAGGGGAGTCCCGCAGAGCTTGGGGAATTAGGAAGCTACTTCAGTCAGGGGCTGTTACTATGGTCACTGTGTCCTGGCCAGGTATCCTGACTTGGCCCTTTCCTAAGCTGCCCCTGTATTCGAAAGTGATCGTGGGCTGCCTGTGCCCTGGTCATTGATACTGCAGGGAGAGGATGCAGAAAGCCTTTCCCCGTGTTTGGAGGATCCACACTGTCCTTGCCGAACCCTGGTGCTTTCGAACAAATCTTCCTTCTCCTAGCCTTTTGTTCTCCTGGATGTTGTCACCAGGCTTGCTAAGTGCCTTCTGCCAGTGCTGGACAGTGTCCACAAAGGCTTATGGAAGGGAGTTAGAAGCAGGGCTCTACGTTGAGGGTTTTATTCTGGCCCAGTTTTGCGAATATCCTATGAGCCCTGGCCACATCCTCTTCCATGGCTGCAGAAGAGAGCCCTCCATGAGCCTGTGTGGTGGAAGGCTGGCGTGCCCACACTGCTGTGTTGAGAGATGGGTAAACACAGGCAGCAGGACTCTGGCCCCTCTGAGCCTGTCTAGCCGTGACCTACTTTCAGCCTCTAATTGGCTAACAGACAGTGAGAGGCTCTGTGGTTATGTAGGTGGAGATCCAAAGCATTGTTCTCTTTTTTCTTTTAATTCTTTAGGTGTTTGTGGACCCCAGAGGACCAGGGAGTGAACAGGAGGACCACCACTCAGTGAAACTGGGAACTGCCCACTCACAGAATCCTGAAACAGCCTTTTTTTTTTTTATTATGTTTTGCAATCGACTCAGGCATGGGAGACTCCAACATACACCTCAGAGGGCTATGTCCTGTCCCCGTGTCCGTCTGCAGTGCCTGAATGACAAGTACTTTTCTGTTGAACTTATTGCTTACCTTTCCTGTTACTCTTCACCCCACCACCACCACACATGCATACATTGTACATTGTTCAATAAACCTTACAGATTAACTCAGCCTGCCTTTTAAATCCATGTCACCCCATGAGCTCACAGGGCTGGGTGTGGAAAAGGAGGGCTATAGGACAGCTTCTGTCTCTTGATGTGCCTTTCCTGTTAATGCACTCTGAGGCTTGGCTTCAGGGTGTTGGAAGTGGACAGGAAGGACTAGTAAGTAGCCTTTGTGCCTTTGAGAGAGTTGAGGGGTTACTGAACAGTCAAGGTCAGGATTCTGGGAAGGAGCCTATGTCAGGGTGCTTTATGACATGTCAGGAAGGAAGGCTAGGGTATCAGTTCTAGGAGCAGTTGAGGAGCTTCCTAGGAAGTGAGACAAATCATTGCTAAAACTAAAAAAATTGGATGGTTAAGATAATTGGGCAGGATGCTAAAATATGAAAAGTGAAACTAGTAACCTGTTTTCTTTTTTATAGCAATTATAACAACTGCCTATGCAAACAGTTGTGGCTGAAAGACTCCTGATCTATGAGAAGTCTTGATGTGGGATTTCCCTCTGTTGTAAATATGTTTTATTGCCACTGGTTAATAAAGAAGCTGCTTTTGGTCAATGACTTAACAATATAGCCAGGCTAAAAAAGAGTAGGTGGAGTCAGACACCCACAGGACCGTACCAGAAAGTTACGAGCCTCATAAAATATAAAGTAAAAATGGGTTAATCTAAGATGTAAGAGTTTGCCCCTCCCCCATCATTGATAAAGTTTAGGGAGGCCCCATCTCATGCAAATGTTATATAGATAAACACTGCCTCTTGCCATGACATGAGGAAAACTGCATTGTGTCTAAGACATATTCTTGTTAATGATATGTCCCCATTTTCTAGCTCTTACATCCTTTCTGCCCACTTTTCCATAACACTCCCTGAACTTTGGAGGGTGTGGTGCAAATGGCCCATTTGGGACCTAGTGAGCGCTCCATCATCACTTTTCCCACCCAATTGGTCGAGTGTCTGCATAAACCACCACTGCACTCAGTTACTTTTCTGATGAAGACTGAGGACAGCATAAATATAGATATAAATATGAATATTTTAAGTAAAAAACATGACCATTTAGCAATAGAAATAGGTGCCCTATTAGAACCTGTCACCTCTCCAGTCACAGATTCTTAGACAAATGTATATATAATAAAGGACTCAAGTTCTTCCCTGCGGAGTAGGCCTCAAGTCCAATTAGAAGTAATTGGCTATACCCATAACTGCTATGCCACTGTTACATCCGTGGACAGAGCTTGCCTGACAAGTCATTGTGGTTTTGTAGGAGTCACAGCTGGGTGGGAATTTTGGTGGCTTTTACCCCCTGCACAGTGCTTTCTCACACTGAAAACCAGCCAGTACAAATGACACTGCCAGTACTGTTCCAAGTTGATTTCTCTGTGTCCACCAAATTGTGTAATGTCTTCAGCAAACAGATCTTAGCATAAAGTTTTCACAGGCAACTAAGTCCAAAGGCATTAGCCTGTATTCAGGATGCCTCTGGGATCTCCCTAATGTAAAATCTCAAAAGTATCTCACAACTATCCCTGGGGTTTTCATTTAATTATTCATGGATCCCGAAAGAAGAATTATCCACCCATGGGGATCAACTCCATTCCAGTTCTCTTTATGTAGGTGTATTTTTACTAGGGTTACAGTTTGTTTCCATATGGCTCTCCAAGCATCCTTAGTTTGGCTTACCCTTTCCACCTCCCACTCTCGACTTCTTTCCCCCTCCTATCCTCTCTTTGTTTAGACCTCTCCCTCCACTTTCATGGCCAAGGCCTTTCCCCATCTTCCCTCTACAAGCACTCTCTATCATCCTGGACTTAACTGGCTCTCAAAGTTAAACATGCTCATCTAAAAGCTCATATCTAGCTTCTGATTCTGAGGGACCCCGTGGTGAGGCAGAGGTAGGTATGTCAGTCAGCTAGAGATGCAATAGCAGAGTGCCACATGCTGGGTGGCTTAGGATGGTAGAATCATTTCTCTCGAGTTTTGGAGCAGTCAAGTCCAGGGTCAAGGTGCCAGCTGGGTTCAGTGTTTGTGGGTGTTTCCTACATGACATGCAAAAGGCTTGCTATAGCCTCACATGATGGGGAGAGAGAATGGAGCTTTTGTGATAAGGATACCTATTCTACCAGTTTGCCTCACAGAATCTTACTTACCCCCCTCCCCCCCAGTTCTGTCCCCAAACACAATTCCATTGGAGGTTAGAATTGAACATACGAATTGGGGAGGTAGCGACACTATTTGGTGTAGAGCAAGAGGGTAACTGCAGCGTTGTCAGCAGCAGGCCCAGGAGCTGAGGAGCCAAGGGTCTGCAGGAGAGCTGGCTAGAAGAGGCGATAAGATTGGTCTTCTGTCAAGGTGAACAGTTGGCACCTGACAAAGATTTATCAAAGGAATCTGTGTCATGCAGGGGCTTCCCTAGTTCTCCAGCCTCTGGAAGTCACGGTTTCCTGGGTAGCCAGTGTCGTAGCTCTTCTCAAAGCTGTTATCCTCCAGTGTTATTTTGTTCCAAGTGTCCTTCGGGCCCTGGGCAGTAGGGGCTGCTCTGGCTGCTTCCTACCTCTGCTTCACTTTGCATGTGGAGTCCTGGTACAGGATGGCATCAAGATGCCTTCCTACTCCTTAGGCAGAGCAGCTCGCTGGGATCCGGCAGAAAGAAAGCAAAGACAGGCAGGAAACCAGCAGTCTTCCTTCTTGGTGGTCAGTAAGCATGTCACAGTTGTAAGTGCAAGGAAGAATTGAAACATGGAGAGGAAGATGGACAGGCAGGCGCACATTCCCTTACATCAGCCAAGAAAGCAAGCCAAGGTAGATCAGGTGACATTCAAGACACTTGAGGCTAGATCTACTTATCTGTCTAGAGGAAGAATGTGTCAGGCAGAGGAAATAGCTCAAGGTCTCTGGCGGGCAGACTTTTCTCAACACACTTGGGGAAGTTAGACTGAATCTCGGGGGTCTCTGAAAAAGGCAGTGCTGTTTTGTTAGGGAGCAAGGGTGTGAGAAGACAGGAGACCAAGAACATGGTAGGACATGAAAGAAGAAAAGGGGTGGGTGTGACAGCTTAAGCCGCCAGGTGTGAACTTGAGTTTGCATCAAACCCTGGAAGGCGTGGTAAAGCAAGATCCCTGGGCTCCAGCCAGTTCTGAATGTGGAGATGTTGGGTGGGGACAAGAGTTCTTTCTTCAAAAGATCTGTTTTATGTTTGATTATGTATAGGTGTGTATCTGGGTACACTTGCATTAGTGCCAGTGTCTGCAGAAGCTAGAGGACAATGTTAGATCCCCTGGAGGTTACAGGTGTTTGTAAGCACCTGATATGGATGCTGGGAACCAAACTCAGGCCCTTTGGAAAAGCAGCCAGCACTCTTCTTAGCTGTGAGTTTCTAGCCCCACGAGTTCATTTCCAGTAAGTGCTTATGGCTGCTGAGGGGCACACTTTGAGAACTGACCTCATTCCAAGCTAGCCAGGAGCTAGCTCTCCGCCCACCCTGGAGTAGCCTTCCCAATGGACAGGCAGGCCTGCTCGTTTAGAAGAGTGGACATCCAGCTACTCACTCCATCTGTTGTACCATGGCAAGGTGTCTACAAATCTCCCAGGCGACACTGATAAGCAACTTGGATCCAGTCCTTCGCAGTCTTGTCAGAGGGAATGAATCCGTGCTTGGTAACAAGCCTTTGGCCCTCTGCCAACCTCTGTGTTTCGTCATCAAGTTGGCAAATACCTTATCCTATGGTAGCGGCAGACAGACAGCCTAACCAGCTTCCATCTACCCAGACAGCTCACAACTGACCCACCACACTGGGGGAGAGTGAGTGACCTTGACTCTTGTGAAACCCAGTTGTTTCTACCAGGGTGTGTGTGTGTGTGTGTGTGTGTGTGTGTGTGTGTCTACATTGTGCATAGGACACAAACCCCAGTTGTTTCTATCACGGTACAGGGTGTGGGTGGGTGGGTGTGTCTACATTGTGCCTAGGACGCAAGCCCCAGTTGTTTCTATCACACAATACAGGGTGTGTGTGTGAGTGTGGGTGTGTCTACATTGTGCCTAGGACACCAGTTGTTTCTATCACACGGTACAGGGTGTGTGTGTGTGTGTGCCTACACTGTGCACAGGACGTGATGGCTGCTTCTACTTGCCTATCCTACAGCATTTTGTAGCCACCCCGCACAGCCTCGCCCTATCCTGAACATTCTGAAATTTGGAAGAGGGACTGTGGTGAGACAACAACAAACACCAGACGTGCTGCAAGCTGGTCCTGTCACACAGCTGTAGCCTAGAATGAAGGCTAGAGAAATGTCAGCTGTGGTCGTTGTGATTAAGAAGAGAGAGAGCCCATTTGGGTCTGGCACAGAGTTCTCTCTTCTGATACAACTCGCAGCCTCCTCTAAGAGGCCATTTAGCATTCCTGGTGGGTGCTTAAACAATTTTCCGATAAACTTTAACAGGATTAGAACCTCTTTAGGGAAATCAGCTACCCAAACACCCAGTGATCTCAGCTGCCCTTTGTCTTATACTCAGTTTAATAAGAGTTATTCAACCATTTCTTCCCCGAGAACCCCGTCACTAAAGGAAGCTGTCAGCTTGGCTCTGTGGCAAGCTGGAAATATAACTGGACACATGCTCATAACCAGTTTATCTAGAAAAAAAATGTAAAATAGACATCTTTAGAGGACACAGGAACAGTAGCTAAGACTTGGGTTGCTATGCTTGCCAGACAGTGTATTGACTGCTCTCCAGCTCAGAAGAATGAATTGAGTTATAATAGTGGATTTGTTTCTGAGGTGCGCTCAAGATCACACAGCCAGTTGCAGTTGGAATCTAAGCATCTGGGTCCAGAGCTGGAGCCCGCTATGGAGTCACTTCTGCTTTTACTAAAAGAGTTACAGCAAGAGACAGAAAATAGGACAGCCCCGAGAGAGGCCGGGTGGAACTGTAGAGAAGAGAGAGGGACCTCCCTTAGTAGGGGGCTTGGAGAAAAGGTGACCTGTCCCTGAAGAGGGTGCAGGGGAAGGCCACATGGAGACAGCCACTGTGGACAGTGAGCAGAACGTGCCACAAATGGTGACAGACAGCATGAGCGTGCTGCCAGGAGCCTGCGGATCCACAGACAGCCATGTGTGAGGACCCCAGTACTTTTAGCACTGAGAGCCCTGTCACCTGGGGAAGTGGACCTTCTACGTTTCTACCTTTTGGATTTTTTATTGCTCTGGGTTCAAAGAACCCATCCTTGTCCCAGCCCTCATTAGCAAGGTGACCCTGGGCATCTCCCTTTGGACTATAAATGTTTTCTCATCCGAAGAAATGACATGAGGAGCAATGTCAGCACCAGCTCTGTGGGCTGCTGAGGATTCAAGGACGCAGCCCCTGAAAAGGCAATTAGCACCTGCCTGGCACCTATTAAGGGCTCCATGAAAGCTGTTACTGCGCGTGACAGAATCCAGAATGGCATTAGAACACTTTTTCTTATTTGAAAGAAAAATTAGCTTGTAGTCTTACTTAATTTCAGACTTTTGGAAAAGTTGCAAAAGCTAGTACAAGAAATTCCTGTACGAGGATTATTCAAAGTCAAGATTGCCTAGGTCCTAGGTAGCTCGATGGGTAGTCTTGCCTCATATGAATGAATCCCTGGGTTCCACCCCCAGAATCTCATAAGATGAATGTGGGGGTTCCCACCCGTAATCCCAGCAGTTAGGAAAGAGAAGCAGGAGGATCAGGAGCTCAAGGTCGTACTTGGCCATATAGTGAGTTTGAGGCCAGCCTGAGCTACATGGGACCCTACTCAAAGCAAATATATGTAGACATACATACAAAATGCCAGGTGGTGGTGGCGCATGCCTTTCTTTAATCCCAGTATTTAGGAGGCAGAGACATGCAGATCTCTGTGAGTTCTGAGCCAGCTGGTCATAGTATACAGAGTTCCAGCACAGTTAAGGCTACACACACACACACATACACACACACACACACACACACACACCAAAACAAAACCCTGTCTCAAAAAGCAAAACAAAACAAAAGAATTATGGCCCCCATGGGCCTTGAGAACCTGGTTCACAGCTCTCTCAACCTGGTCCTCCGACTACCAGACAGAGCACG